ACTGTAAACCAAAATCTGGTCAGTGTGTGTGTGTGTGTGTCCGTGTGTGTATGTGTGTGTCCGTGTGTGTGTGTGTGTCTGAGTGTGTTAAAATAATTAGACCAGAGTGATTTAGTAAAGCACTGAGAGTCAAACACACTCGTGGAGTTGTGAATGAGACGGACAGAAGATGTCAGATCCTCCACTTTAATGAAACACACACACACACACACACACACACTCTCTCTCTCATGTTTAAGATGCACACACCAGCTCTGCACTTTAACAACCGTTTCCTCAGATGTTGAGTGATGCTCAGAGCTGAGCAGTGGTTAATTCACCCAGACAGTTCGAGTATTGAAGCAGAGTGTGTGTAGCTGACTGTGGACCAGCGCCGGCATTATTTACAGTAATAGAGCAGTGAAAGTGAAGCGGTGAAGCTGAAACTCCTCTACAGCACCTCTGTTGATTGATCCTCTAATGCTGATCATCACTGAAGTGCTCATTAATGTTTCTTCTGTCCGGGTTTTCCCTCATTCGGAGGAAATCACCAGCGTTTCTGAACACTTCCTATCCTCAGTTTGTGTTAGTGAAAGCGTGTTTGATCCGTCAGCCTCCGACACTCTGCACCTGTGTGTTTCACATTTACAGCTTTATTATGTGGTCCAGCTCACACAAACACACTGCACAGATGCTGATCTTACTTATATGTGTGTCTTGTTTGTTTCTAGTCCAGATATCCACAAGCGCTTAAATCAAGCATTTTCTAGACTGGTGTAAATGTAGTGTTGTGTTCATCAAGGAAGAGTCAGAATGAAGAGAGTTTCTCATTAAAACAGCAGAATGATCTGAACACGGACTGGAGTAATCATCCTGTTTCTGCTTTTGACTTTAGATTCTTTAGTTTTCCCCATTGTCAGATTATTCTGCTTGTTTTAATGAGAAACTCGCTTCATTTCGATTGATTGTTTCTGGAAACAGGAGCACATTTTGTGCTCGTCTAGAAAATGCGGACTGATTAAAGAGTTTTTAATTTTTACAGGACTCAACTCTCTGTCAGAAAAGCATCATTGCAGTTTAAATTCAAGATCTGAATCAGTCTTTATCATGATTCAGAGTTGCAGTGGAGTCAGTGCTGGTGTAGTGCAGACCACATTTAAACTCGGTGAACACACAGAAGTGCGTTTCCCGAAACCATCGTTAGCCAATTAAGGTCGCAAGATATGTCGTTATAAACATAGTTTGTTGATTTGGCGTTCCCAAATAAATCATTCCAACAAACATTCGCAAACTGAGTCGCAAACTTCTATGCTTGAGCTACACCTCTGGAGCTGTAGTTTGACATGTAGTTCCAGGCTGTGTTCTATTCCCAGTTATCCCCCCTATTCCCTAATCATTTAGAACAGTCTAACATTCAAACTTGGAATGATTTTTTTAATAATAAGGCATTGAGCTCATCTCTCTCTCTGCAATTTGATCTCAAAATATTTCTACAGTTCAGTTTTGGTGATCTTGATGTTTGTATATGCTCCCTTCGCAGTGCACTTTGAACACATTGATGTCATTTTGAACAAAGCCGTGGCTCATGACAAAAGATATAGGTGACCTGTAGCGGAGTTGCGTCTGCAAAGCTTGTGAAAACAAAACACACAGCATACGCGAATGCTTTAATGGATAGTGGGTTATTTATGAAGGATCTGTACTGTATATCAGTGGTTCCCATCCTTTTTTTTTTGTCTGTGACCCCCTTTTCTGCTGGAAAATATTGTAAGGCCCCCTCCACATTTACACATTTATTTTTGCTTATGTACGTTTGCAGTAGATATGACAGAATAGGGTTGTTTTTGCACAAATAACAGCCTAATGTAAAATATAAAAGCAAAACATCAGTAGGCCGTATTAGGGACAACTTGCAGTATTGGGGATGAGTTGTCTGCAAATCTCTTATTAATTTGGAAAGCCTCATGCATTTGTTTGCAAGAACTCTGGCGCAGATAATACACTGTAGCTGAGTCAGACACTCTTTGCTTCGGGAAAATGGAATAAAACCATCGTTCAGGTAACTATCTTGGCATGTCCTGGATTTCGCGTTTCCAGTATTGCTAGCGCCGTGACCTGGAATGTTTGGAGCCTACTCAGCTGGGTCCACTATGGTTGGGTCATTACTATTAGCTGCTGAAGGTGGATCAGTAAGACTGTCTTTTCCACATATTACAAATTTGTCCATTTTTTTTGTCAGCCAGGGGATGAAGTGAACTAAGCAACATGATCGTTCTCCTAATTTACTGCTAAGTACTGCTAAATTTTTCAAATATGACGAGACCCCCCCCCCCCATCCCCCCCACCAAAGAGCTTGCTGATGCCCTCTTGTGGGCCGCGACCCCCCTGTTGGGAACTGCTGCTGTATATGACATGGGTCTGCTGGCTAGAACATTTCTGCAGTGGTTTACATGTGTCAAACTGTAAAAGACTTTTAAAAAAATAAATAATATCCTACTTTATAATCATCATCATCATCATCATCAATATTATTAATATTATTATTAAAGTAGGATTTTGTTTTCATTTCCTTGTAAATAATCAATATTAAATGTCATTTCTTAGTAAATGGCCTCATTATTTATTTATTTATATGATTTATACATGATATTAGAGTGTGTGTGAGCTTTTGTAAGTGATTGTATGTTGCAGAATAGAGTATGTGATGTTCTCTATAATATCTGTGAAGGAAACACAGCCTCTACACTGTATGTGCTGCTTTGAGTAAATTTTACTCAGAGGATTTTGCTGTATATTTCAGTTAATATAGAAAGTGAGTGCATGCTTTCACCAAAACTAATATTGGATTGTATTTTAAATGTGTGTGTGTGTGTGTGTGTGTGTGTGTAACACAATATAATCTGCACAGAGTATTGACGTGGTTCTTCTCTATAGCAGTAGTTCCTCCACCCAGTTCAGAGCATCATTATGGGTGTTTGACATTATAACTAACATGGTTGAAGCGATGGATCTGCCACAGAGAAACTACAGCTTTTGGGAAACACTCGTCACCACAGTGCTCTTTTCTCAAACGATGCGTCGTACTATGATAGTTCAGCCGTGAGTTGCGTCGTTGTTTGGGAAACACCCCAGAGCAGTTTATTCAGATGTAGATTTCTTTTGGTCAAGCTTCACAATAGGGTTTAGTTTGAGTTTCATGTGTGTTCATGTATTTACTAACATGAAGAAATAACGTGCAGGTGATTTATTACAGTGCAATAAAAACAAATGTTAATAAGCAGACGGTTACATTTAAAAACATGTTAGTAAATGTTGAACTCTGTGATTTAATAAACGCTTAATCTTAATGCTCGTCAATACATAAGCTAATGGAAACCCATTGTGTAGTGTGATCCTGTCTGAAACTGCAGTTTACATTCATCACAGATTTAATTCAGATTTAGAACAAACACATCTGATTTCATTTCAGAACTGATTCAGTCCAGATCCATTGGACTTCACTGCAGATCTTTACATGCAGAAGAACAGATTGGGTTAATATTCAGAGCAAACTTTATTCATATTCACTCATCTTGTGATTGGCTTAAATGCAGTTGAATTTGATAACGGGTTTCCAGACGGAGCTGAAGAGCCGTGTACACTGAGGAGAGCTTACAAGCAGAGCAGATCTCAGGCAGACTCAGTGCAGATGCAGAGCAGGTGAGTTTCCTGCTGTCAGCTCACAACAGATGAAGCTGCGTAGCTGAGGTTGAGGAGTGTGTGTGTGTGTGTGTGTGTGTATGTATGTGTAAGTGTGTGTGTGTGTGTAGAGGTGAGGATCTCTACACAGTCAGTTCTTTCTCTTCAGCTCTTCTGGAAAGATCTTCATCTTATGGTTTCTGCTCTGTTTTCATTTCTTCTCTCTGTAATTTGTGTGTGTGTGTGTGTGTGTTTGTGTGTGTGTGTTTTTTTGTGCGTGTGTGTATTTGTGTGTGTGTGTGTGTTTCTGGATCTGTAGCTCAGCTTTGTTTGGTGAGTGTGACGGGTGTTTGTATCTTACACACACAGCGATACACACGGGCACGGCGATACACACACTGCAATGCTTTGCTGGCGCAGAGATTTCTGTCTTGTTTGTAGTCCAGATATCTAAAAACTCTTAAATCAGGAATCTTTTCCTGGATGAGTTAAAATATAGTGTTGTGTTCATAAATAATCAGAATGAGGAGAGTTTAACATTCAGACAAGTGGAATAATCTTCAGAACAAAAACACGATTCTTCTGCTTATTTCAGTGAGAAACTCTCCTCATTTAGACTCGATATCTCTGAACACACCAGAATATTTCAGCATTGTGCAGAAAATGCAGACTCATTTAAGAGTTTGTATGAGAGAAACAAGACTAAACTCTACATAAGAACACACACACACACACACACACACACACACACACACACACACACACACACACAGCTTCTGAAATGATAGTGTTTGTGTGTGTTTAATTTAAGCGTGTATGTGTATGTGTGTGTGTGTGTGTGTGTGTGTGTGTGTCTGATTATGAATTTAAATGTAAATGTATACCTGTATGAGTGTGTATCTGGCTGTGTGTGTGTGTGTATTTCATAGTCTGTATGTCTGTGTGTGCAAAACTGTGCATGCATCTGGTTATGCGTGTGTGTGTGTGTGTATACATATTTAAGTGTGTAAATAAGTATGTGTGTGTTTGTGTATAAATACGTATGTAAATGTGTGTGTGTGTGTGTGTGTGTGTGTGTGTGTGTGTGTGTGTGTGCATATTTAAGTGTGTATATAAGTATGTGTGTGTTTGTGTATAAATACGTATGTAAATGTGTGTGTGTGTGTGTGTGTGTGCATATTTAAGTGTGTATATAAGTATGTGTGTGTTTGTGTATAAATACGTATGTAAATGTGTGTGTGTGTGTGTGTGTTTTGAGTGTGTGTATTGACTGAGTGTATTGACGTGTGTGAGTCTGGAGACCCTCATTAACACACATCAGTCTGCTGCAGTTGCGTGTCGGTCGTCACACACAGAAGTGCAGCAGTGTTTCCGCTCTGGGGTCCGTCACTCGTCTTCATTCAGTTCTGTGTGTCTGTCACGCTTCATATTGCAGACAGAGTCACAGCAGCTGAGTATAGCTGAAGACGAGAGGACTGAAGAACACTGCTGTAACACTGTGTGTGTGTGTGTGTGTGTGTGTGTGTGTGTGTGTGTGTGTGTGTGTGTGTGTGAATCCGTTGTCTTTGTGTTCATGATAAAAATAGAGCTGTTACTATTACATGTGCTCTTACTCTCCTCCTGTCTCCCTGTCTGCCTGCCTGCCTGTCTCTCTATCTGTGTGTGTGTGTGTGTGTGTGTGTGTGTGTGTTCCTGCAGATGGAAACTCTTCTCGGAGCAGGTTGTGATGTAAATCTTGAGCGGAAAATAGAAGTCAAATTTCTCCCTGTTCTTCTGTGTCCCATAGTGTTTACCCCACCCACACAACCCAGCACACACACACACACACACATGCATGTGCGCACATACAGACACACATGCATGTACTCGCATACATATGCATGCACACAAACACAAATGCATATACAGAACACACAGATACACACATACAACACACACAAATGCATGAGCATGTATACAGTATGCATGCGTGCACACACACACACACTGATGCATGCACGGATGTACGTGCACTCATGCACACGTACATGCATGTACTGTGCACACAAAAAAACGTACTCACACACACACACACACACACACACACACGCAGTTCGTCAGGCTTTTAGGCAGACTGGAGGATGTTGAGCTGCAGCGTCTCTTAAAATCAGAGCATTTAATGTCAATAATGTGTACCAAATAATAGCATGCACGACGAGGGCGAGTGTGTGTGTGTGTGATCCGCTGATCCTGCTTGCTCTGGATTGGGTGTGTCCTAAATTAGCGTTTTGTGTTTGGGAGGAGGCCTTAAGCCCTTATTAAAGCCCTCCATCACATGAAGTAAAAAGCAAGAGGTGTGTGTGTGTGTGTGTGTGTGTGTGTGTGTGTGTGTGTGTGTGTGTGTGTGTGATTGTTTTTCTGGCATATATTTTATATCTGCGTCTGTTATGTGATGGTTGACTAGTCATCTGGTATCTTCAGTGTTTTCAGGTGTTTGTTTGTTTAATTCTGTTTTGTTTATTATAGTTTGAGTTTGGGTATTATCAGTGGATGTTCACTGCTGAAATGTTGTATGTTAGGTCAGATGTGTAACTGTAACTCTGCTGGATTCCTCTGTGTTTAACACAATACATGTCGTCATGTTTCTCAAACACTTTCATTAATGTTTTTACTGTGAAGCTCATGATCATTGCAGCTCTCCTGTTTTATAACCAGAACAATAAAACTACAGCAATACAAAACCTGTAAACTATACAGCCCAAAACTAAACCTGATCAGTTATTAAAACTGGTGATAAATGCAAAATAAAGATGTTTATGCGTGTTAATATACTCCAGGTATCAGCCACAACCCTGCAGAAAACAAGAGGATGAGCTTTCTTCAGATAAACAAACCCATTTTCATTTAGTGTTGACCTGACCTGAAGAGTTCCTGTTCAAAGTTGGAGCTTTGTGTTTTTTCTAAATTTAAAGGACACATCAGGCTTGTGGAGATTTACCCATAAGAAATGATTTAGTATATTTATTTCATGTGCATGCATAGACTGTTTATCCAAATTTGACCAATCAGATGAGGCCGTACTTTCAATCTGGCAACCTGTATGTGTGCGTCAAGTGGTCAGAGAGAGGCAGAGGGAATGTTTTTAATCTGGACTGCAATACCCAGTTGAACCACAGTATTACACACTGCACCTTTAACATATGAAATGTTTAGCCAGAAATGTGCAAACTTTAAATACCGGGAATTTTAAGCCCCGGTCAGACCACACGATTTCGGCTGGACTTTCTTGATGTAGGGTGTCGTAGAGATTCCTAAACGACAAATAGACGTCGTGACACAAGATTCAATCGTTTCTTCTTGAGTAATGTGGCATAGTTCATGACAACCAATCCCCGAGCCTCACAACACCGTCGCAGAAAGTCTAGCATGTTTAATCTTTCCTCGTTCATTATGACGAGTTCCCCCACGTGTGTGACACGGCCCAATAGGAGCACATAGTTATTTTAGTGGATGCTGCTGTTAATGAGCTGGTCAGGTAATCAAAAAACAGGCTGCATATTTACTGATGGGTTGGTCACGGGTGGACCAGTCGTCGGCTGTGCAAACTTTAACTACTTTCTCTAAAATATTAAAGTGTTTTAAGCAATTTTACCTGACAGACTGGCACAAACATGCCCACATCTCCATTCTCACAACCAGTTTCTGAGTTCTCTCTTCCAGAGGCGTCAGCAGGATTTTATTCAAAGTTACACACATATCTAGCACCACCCTGGCCCATCATCCCTTATTCTTATTTCAATCTCAAAAAACACTGATGCCTGCTGTCAAAGGCTACATTTGCCGCGAGTGAGACAGAGAAAATGAAAGCACAGTTGAAGTCAGAATTATTCGCCCCCTTTGAATAGTTTTTCTTTTTAAATATTTCCTAAATGATGTTGAACAGATTGAGGAAATGTTCACAGTATGTCTGATAATGTTTGTTCTTCTGAGAAAGTCTTATTTGTTTTATTTCGGCTAGAATAAAAGCAGTTTTTCGTTTTTTAAAAACATTTTAAGCTCAATATTATTAGCCCCTTTAAGCTATATATTTTCTCGATAGTCTCCAGAACAAACCATCATTATACAATAACTTGCCTAATTACCCTAACTTTACCCTAATTACCCTAGTGAAGCCTTTACATGTCACTTTAAGCTGTGTAGAAGTGTCTTGAAGAATATCTAGTCTAATATTATTTACTGTCATCATGACAAAGAGAAAATAAATCAGTTATTAGAGATGAGTTATTAACACTGTTATGTGTATAAATGTGTTGGAGAAATCTGCTCTCCGTTACACAGAAATTGGGAAAATATAAAAATAAATGGGGGCTAATAATTCTGCCTTTAACTGTATTTGCATATGTGTGTGTATGCATGTGTTTATATTTGTGCACATGTTTGCATTAATCTGGTTATATCTGTTATCTGTTTAGTTTTACGTGCATATAATATGTCTGCTGTATTTTGTATATCTGTTTTGATGAGTTACTGACATTGAGGTTGTTGTTCTTTAATATTTGTGCTAGTGAAGCACTCTAATGTGCATGTTATGTAGGAAAAGGGCTATAAATATAAAGTTTATTCTAATGTTCTCGGATTTAAAAATAGCAAATAAAAATAGAAGAAATGCCGTTATCAGAATGCTCAGGATAAAATAAATAACATTTTCACACTGTGGCCTCACAACAAGAAAGTCGCAGGTTTGAGTCCCGGCTGGGTCAGTTGGTGTTTCTGTGTGGAGTTTGCATGTTCTCCCCGTGTTGGTGTGGGTTTCCTCCGGGTGCTCCGGTTTCCCCCACAGTCCAAACACATGCGCTATAGGGGAACTGATCAACTACACTGGCCGTAGTGTATGAGTGTGTGTGTGAATAATTGTGTGTGTGTTTCCCAGTGATGGGTTGCAGCTGGAAGGGCGTCCACTATGTAAAACAGATGCTGAAATAGTTGGCGATTCATTCCACCTCTGAAATTGAGACGAAGCCGATTAAATGAATGTGTGTGTGTGTGTGTGTGTGTGAATGCTGTACAGTTCCTCGTGTGTGTGTGTGTGTGTTAACTGGTCCTCATATGTGCCTGCAGGTGGCGATGTCTCCAGGAGAGGACGGTCTGATCGGGATCCCCTTCCCGGAGCACAGTAATGAGCTGCTGTCTCGGCTGAATGCCCAGCGGCGCCGCGGCCTGCTCTGCGACCTCACGCTGACCTCCCGCGGTGCCCGCTACCCCACGCACCGCTCCGTCATGGCAGCCGTCAGTCTGTACTTCCGGCGGCTGTTCGGGGCGGAGGAGGGCGAGGGTGGCGAGGGCGCGGGTGACGGCTGCAGCGTGTGCCAGCTGGACTGCGTGGCGCCGGACGCTCTGGCGGCGCTGCTGGAGTTCGCCTACACCGCCACGCTCACCATCCGCAGCTCCGGCATGCGGGACGTCCTGAAGGGGGCGCAGCTGCTGGGCATCCAGTGTGTGGCCGACGCCTGTCGGGACATCCTGGGTGAGACTGGCGACGCCCCCACGGATGCAGTGGAGGAGGCGGAGCCACTGCCGTCTCGCCGCAAGCAGGACCGCTGCTCCGTATCCCCCGCCAGACCCGTGTGCCGGCGCTCTGAGGACATACACGGCTACGAGGGACACCCGCCGCCCGCCGCTGGGGTGCTGATGAACGGAGGTGGAACCTGGCTGCAGGAGGCCACGCCCATCCCACGCAGACCTGAAGACACACCCTCAGAGGAGGAGGAGTCTGGCCTGCAGGTAGGGATGGCTGATATGCTCATATCACAATATTCACTGGTGTTTAGGCCCAGTCCCTGTTCGCCTACTCATAGGGCTGGAAATATCCCCCTAGGAATTGGCCCTCACCGCTACACCTCCAACTAAAGAGAATTGGGACACCTGAACCTTTCATATGAACACAGGAGAATTGATAACAATATTATTAATTGATAATTCGGAAGTATTCACTCGGAGTTAAAAAAAAAGGCGGTTATGTTATTTGTTATGTTGTTTTTAATCACGTGGTTCTAGTGACGCATGAAATTCAGATGGCAGGAAGTAAATCCAGGGTTCATACGGTCATGGAAAACCTGGGAAAGTCTTTGGATTTTGACATGGCATTTTCCAGGCCTGGAAAAGTTTTGGAAAAGTCCTGGAAATTAGTTTAACAGATATCTGTATAGCTGAATTAGGGCTGCGCAATATTGGAAAAATCTGACATTACTATAATTAGCATTTCTGTGATGTATACTAGGATGTGAATGACAAGCATAGATCAATAAAATATCGTAAAGATAAAAGTGAATTCTAGTGTTCAGGTGTTCACTATTCAGGTACAGATAATAAATAATCATCACTGCACAGTCTTCATTATATATTATTTCATCTTTATTAAAGTTACAAAGGGCGAGGCAGTGGCGCAGTAGGTAGTGCTGTCGCCTCACAGCAAGAAGGTCGCTGGGTTGCTGGTCCGATCGTTTCTGTGTGGAGTTTGCATGTTCTCTCTGCGTTCGGGTGGGTTTCTTCCGGGTGCTACCCCATGGTCCAAACACATGCTGTACAGGTGAATTGGGTAGGCTAAATTGTCCGTGGTGTATGAATGTGTGTGTGGATGTTTCCCAGAGATGGGTTGTGGCTGGAAGGGCATCTGCTGCGTAAAAAACTTGCTGGATAAGTTGGCGGTTCATTCCACTGTGGCGACCCCGGATGAATGAAGGGACTAAGCCGACAATAAAATGAATGAGTAAAGTTACAAAACATGTCTTGTGGTCGGATGTTTTAAACTCTGAAATATTGAAATGTTCACACAGTCACAGGCCTTAAAGGGACAGTTCACTCAGATTAAAATGTCCTCACTATTTACTCACACTTCACTTGTTTCAATACTATTGGAGTTATTCAGTTATATTCTTTTTGTGGTGACTGGTGAGTAATGTTTGGGTGAATGCATGCAGATGACCAACCTTTCCTCCATTATGATTAAACTCTATTAAACTATAATCTCATCATTGCATATCCAGTGTTGTGACTATTGTGGATGCACACATTGCGATATCGATGCTGAAACCATATATTGTGCAGTCCTAACTTGAATTAAGGTTAGTTGTCTTTACTTCTTTTCTGTCCTTAACCAAAAACTTGCTCTCACATCGTTATTGCAACTTTGCATAGATATATAATACAAATTTAATCAAAATAGACTGCTGCGTGTTCTGTAATTTGCTGTAATAAATTTGAACGTCATTGTTTCTCTTATTATTTACCCTGCATATATAGACATTACATCAAACAATAGGTCATGAAAATGTACTTGAAAGTTCTGGAAAAGTCTTGCAGTTTCAGTAGTAAACGTGTGTATGAACCCTGAAAAACTGAATGGGAGTCATGGAGGAAAGTCTGTATTTTTGCGATTAATAACATTTCAAAGAAGATTTAATCAAAAATAAGCACATATGCAGGACATGATCCTTCTATCATGAAGAGGGACGAGTTTACTACTGATCTAACATGTATTTGTCTGACATTGAGGCGGTGGATACTGTATATTGTCACACGGAAAATACCATAGAAAATACTATATACAGGGTGGCCCATTTATATGGATATACCTTAATGAAATGGGAATGGTTGGTGATATTACCGTCCTGTTTGTGGCACATTAGTATATGTGAGGGGGCAAACTTTTCAAGATGGGTGGTGACCATGAGGGCCATTTTGAAGTCGGCCATCTTGGATCCAACTTTTGTTTTTTCAATAGAAAGAGGGTCATGTGACACATCAAACTTATTGGGAATTTCACAAGAAAAACAATGGCGTTCTTACATTGTGCTGGAAAACACTGGATCCAGAATCTCTGAAATCTGATCCGGCATCTCATTATAGATATATATGAAGTTAGCCTGAGTGTCTGCAGTGTGTAAACTATTTCACATGTAATGACCAATAATAGGTTTTATCGTTAAGCATTTTGTTTCAGTGGGGGTAGTTTTTACCATTATATTGCAAATTATAATATATACCCCATCCCTACCTGCAGGGGCGGGCCACTCCCCACCACAGCCAATCACAGCTGGCGGACGGAGGGGGAGGCGGAGTCACAGCTGTGAGTGGCAGGAAGAGGAAGTCCCAGACGCCGCAGCAGTGCCCCGTCTGCCAGAAGATCATCCACGGAGCCGGGAAGCTGCCGCGGCACATGCGGACACACACCGGCGAGAAACCGTTCCAGTGCACCGCCTGCGGAGTGCGCTTCACACGGTAACAGCTGCACACGCATGATCATGGCAGTGAGTTAAGGGAGTTTAGTAACTAAAGAATAAAACACACTGACTCAAAGGTGTCGTGCATTTGTCATTCCATCGTAATCTCAACTGGAACATGAAGAGAGGGTGGGACATAAAGTAGCCCCACCCCTTTTCAAAAGTCAGCCAATAGCGTTGTGTTTTTCTCACAGCTCTGCCAGTGAGTGGAGCTCAAGAGCATCAAGCTGAATCTCGTCTGTCCTCTGTCTGTGGTGTTCACATGTTCACCTCACGTCTGTTTTCAGGAACGACAAGCTGAAGATCCACATGCGCAAGCACACGGGCGAGCGGCCGTACCCCTGCCCCAGCTGCCCGGCGCGCTTCCTGCACTCCTACGACCTGAAGAACCACCTGTCCCTGCACAGCGGCGACCGGCCCTTCGAGTGCCCGCTGTGCCACAAAGCCTTCGCCCGCGAGGACCACCTGCAGCGCCACCGCAAGGGCCACAGCTGCCTAGAGCTCCGCCCCCGCCGACCCCGTCGCACTCCTGGCCCTGCCCACAGCAGCGACTCCCCGCCCCCGGAGTCCTTCAGCCTCCACCAGCAGCATGCAGAGCACATGGCAGGGCTCCTGGAGGGGCCGGGGCTCCCCCTGCGCATCCCCTACCCGGAGCTTCTGTGGCGGGCAGTGGCGGTGGCGGGACCCATGGGCAAAGATGGAGGATCATCTCCACACGGCGGCAGCACCATCACACGCAACACATACAAGGAGGAGGAGGAGGAGGAGGAAGAGGAGGAGCAAGAGGAGGAGTGATCCCACCCCTGAGTGTGTGTGTGTGTGTGTGTGTGTGTGTGTAGCTTCCATATATCAGTCCCGCAGTGGCGTCTCTCTCTGCTCCTGGTGCTGGTGGGCTCCTGAAGGGTCTCTGTTCTGTTTGTTTGTGTTTCTGTGGTTGTGTATGAGTCCTGCGTTTGGAGATTCATCTTTTGTTTATGTCGGAGTGTCGAGGATGTTGACGCTATGCAAACATTTGAGTGATTGAACAAACCTGTTTTAAAAACAGACTAATGAATGAGTTGAGTATGCAGAAGAGTGGGCGGGGAGGGGGCGTGGCCTTGTTTTCTATGGCGGTGTCGCCACCTACAGGCGAGGCGGTGCAGCTGCACTCAGGGTGTCGTGATGAAGGGAATCTACTGAAGAATTTACGTTAGCTGCTCTTCAATTTAGCCTTTTCCAAAGGGAATGACTTGTTTTAATGACAGGAGTTCCTTTCATACCAAAGAGTAGAGGCTAGCTGACACTTCACTTCAGTACGTGAATGTTCCACATCTATCTGTAGCCTTCCAAGCGTCTTCAGCTGGACCAGGTCTCCGTTCTCCCGCAGCTTGTGGATCTCAGATGATTTTGGTTTACGTCTCTTCTGTTCGGGCTGGATTTTGAAAGCGCAGGTCTTTTGTAAACTATTCTATTTATTTATTTTGGTTTGATATTTATTGTGACTGTCCTGGTTGTGGCGCTTGGGTTCTTCCGCATCTGCTCTGCTCCTGGAGCCTGGTCTCGGGTCGGTTTTGCCTTTTAATTGTAATGGTTGCAGGTAGACGAGGTGCACGTCTGATCTCAGTTTTGCGAGTGTGTGTGTGTGTGTGTGTGTGTGTGTGTGTGTGTGTGTAAACGCTCAGGTGTAGTAGAGACTGAGATTCAGGCATCCTTTGATTGCAAGTTTTGCACAATAAAAGTTCAGTCCCTCCGCAGACCAGCAGGAAGCGAGGAGGAGTCTTGCCTTTTTTGAAGCAAATGCATATCTGAGATATTTTGGAATATGATGTATACACACACACACATATATATATTTGATTATGTGAATCATAAAGAGTCTCGAATAACCTCAGAACTATAGCTTTAGCCGCCTTGTTTCGCTGCAGGAGCTCGTGGCTCTTTCTCCTCTTGAATATTGAAGCAATATTACCGCAGCCGTGGCCTGATGTCGGGGTGCATTCTGGGGGATTGTGTGTGCGTTACTGCTGACAGTGGGGAAACTACCCAAAGAGGTTTATTTGCACTAAAATGGGATCTGTCTGTGTGTTGTGAAGTACTGCTCCTGATTGTGAATCCTCGTTTCGCCCTTTATTAATGACCCGCGCTCTTCTTCTGATTGAGTTCTTTGCAGAAATCTGATTTTTGTTCATGTGAAAGGTCAAGCTGCCTTAGATTATTTGATTTATTTGACTTTTGCGCGCAACTATTCTCAGGAAATCTTGAGCCATGCACTAAGTGGTTATGCAAACGTGTATTGAATATTAATTTATTGTATATATTTGTGCTTTGGAGATGCGAGCGGCCTGTGGTTTAGTAACGGTACTTCACGTCTGTTCTGCGTAAGTTTCTTTTCTATGGAAGCGGTGACGGTAATCAGGGATCTGTTTCTGTTCAGAGTCTAAATCTTTATTTCTCATGGTGTACAAATGAAGAGAAAATAAACAGATTTATGTACAAAGAGCTTGCTTATTGTGTTTTCCTCTGTTGTGTTAGGAGTAACTGATAAAGAACAATCAAATTATACGTTAATATTAGGTTTCACCTCAGCCGGGCTTTATTCTCTAATGGACCCTTTTCACAAGCCTGTTATGTTGTGTTTCACGGTCATCATAATGTTTAATATTCGAAAGTTTAAAAATTTTTTTTTAACATTTGTATGTATTTATGCATGTACAGTTGAAGTCAGAATTATTCGCCCCCTTTGAATTTTCTTTTCTTTTTAAAATATTTCTCAAATTTATGTTGAACAGATTCAGGAAATGTTCACAGTGTGTCTGATAATGTTTGTTCTTCTGGAGAAAGTCTGATTTGTTTTATTTCGGCTTGAATGAAAGCAGTTTTTAATTGTTTAAACACCATTTTAAGGTCAATATTATTAGCCCCTTTAAGCTATATTTGTTTAGTCTCCAGAACAAACCATCGTTATACAATAACTTGCCTAATTACCCTAACTTTACCCTAATTACCCTAGTGAAGCCTTTACATGTCACTTTAAGCTGTATAGAAGTGTCTTGAAGAATATCTAGTCTAATATTATTTACTGTCATCATGACAAAGAGAAAATACATCAGTTATTAGAGATATCAGACATACTGTGAACATTTGCTTGCTCTGTTAAACATCATTCGGGAAATATTTTAAAAAGAAAAGAAAATTCAAAGGGGGTGAATAATTCTGACTTCAGCTGTACTGTGGTTACTCCACCTAAATCCACTGTTGAGATATTGTATTTCAGAGTAGGGCTGCACGGTTCTGGCTAAAATGTGAATCACTGTATTTTTGGGTTAAAATCAAGATCACAATTCTTTCTCACGATTCTTAAGATGTAAATTAAAGGTCAATATGAGCTGGCTATTATTATTGTTAATTCTCAAACATATCGCCACCTTGGAGTTATAAGGTTCTCTCTGCATTCTGAAGGATTTTGAGATGTTGAGCTTCAAAGTTGTTGCAATCCATATAGCAAACAGTATGTGTGTAACTTTTTTTTAAGTTTTAAAATGTGAACAATAAGTTTGAATTAAAAAGAATATTTCAATAACTCAATTTTGACAAAAATGTCAGATAGAACCATTTCCCTGCTGAAAAATCCAGCTTAAAACAGCCTAGGATGGCTGGCTGGCTTGTTTTAGCTGGTCAACCAGGCTGGTTTTAAAGGGGTTTTAGCCATTTCCAGCCTGCTTTAAGTTCACTCAAAAAAATGAATTATGGCTTTAGTTGGTCCAAATAATGTAACTATATTGAAATTAAACAATTTGCTTATGTTTGTGTAATAAAAATAAAAGTGTTGTGTTGGAAAAAATTAGAAAAAGTTAGTTTTTACATTTAAACAGCTCGCTTAATTAACATGAATGAAAGGGAGTTGTGTTGCTTCTGCAGTACTGCATTTTGGTCAATAGGTGGAGTAATATCTGCACATGCGCAGTTTCAAAACAACACAGGAAGTAAGAAGATTCAAACCACAACGATCACTCTCAGCTCGGCGCCATATTATGGGAATCAAAAGATGAAGATTACAGTACAAATTGAGAACGTGCACAAAGCTTTGCCCAATGTGGACACACAGGTGAGATTTTATTTACTTTTTTATGTATTTATATTGAGGCTGTGACAACATTTGAGTCATTAATGTACTCCCTTGTAATACTCTGTTGTGTTTGTGTATAGTATTGTTATGAAATTGCCATGTTTCCTGTTTCTTTTTCACATTAATGACAGATAAATTTGTAGTTTTTTGCATTCCTGTGAGATTTTATACTTTGTATATATTAACTCCCCCAAAATAAAGTTGCAAACAATGATAGTAAGGAATAGTCATGTTAGAATAGTCTAAGCATTTCACTTATAGCACCCGTGCTGCTGATAATGTGACAATAAAAGTGACTAGATTTTTGATTTGATAGTCTCTATTTTAAATGAGTGTCAAGCTGTTTGTCAAGTTTGAATGCTAGTTTTGATAGCTTACATAATATTAATTAAAAGGTGGTGTTGGCACATTGTTATTATTCAAGCCTGTTAACTTAAAAAAAAAAAAAAAAAACTTGACATCATATGTGACACTTAAATAGGATGACATCTTGCATGATGACATATTTAATGTAAGCTTATTTGTTTGGTCATCTAACACATTTAAACTTTTAAGTTTAGTAGTTTGCAGTGTTTTATTTTTTTCATTTTTATTATTATAAATATATTATTCTAAATGCTATATATTTATATTATTATATTTTATTATTACAAATATTTGCTCACTCGCATCTATTTTCTCCCTCACAGGTTTACAGCTTAACCTCTAAAGTCCCATATCTGGCTGAGGAGACTGTGGATCATCCAGGTACTATGCCTTTAGATGCCTATACACACATTAAAATGATGTACAGTAAAAATTACTAGTAATTTTAACTACTAATTATTTAGTAAATTACTATTTGTCATTTCATGTCATTTAGAACATCACCAGTGGAAAAAAGGTGTGAATGCATCCTCAAAGCCCCTAAGTGAGGGAGTACATGGTAAGCTTTTTACAATTTTATTTTATTATTTTTTTAAAACATTTTGTATTTTCCTCTTAAACCAATTCCTCCTTTCACCTTTGATCTGTTGGTAAATGTTTATTTTTTTTACCTGACTTTTTTTAGGATGCTGGGCATGATGAAGCACAAACCTTGATGTGCAACACCACCTTATGAATCTACAGAAGTTACATTAACATTTAGCATGCAGACTCTTTTGTCTAAAGTGACTTACAACTGAGGAGACATTCAGCAAATCAACAAGAAGAGGCAGTACACCCAAGATGTGCTAATTATACAAAGAATGTTAAGAATTAAGAATGCTTTTACATGTGGTTTGTCAAGCCCACTTACCTGTGTGAAGCAGACTTCATGCACAAGGTTTTTTTTGTGTTTTTTTTTTTTTTTGTAGATATAGGGAGTGGTTGTAAGAAAGTGTCTGGTGCAAATGTGCAGAAATGTTGCAAATGTCAGAGATGAATGTGTGTAGCTATTGCATGTTCTGTGATGGTTGGTCTAATTTATGGTGTAGTGCTGATCGTGTTACTTTGCCTGAAAATGTTAATCTTTCTTTGAACAACTGAAGTGTTATCTGCTTTTTCAGTGGAAAGAAGGTACAGCATAGTTTACAAAAGAAGACTTAATTTTTCGAAGTATATTTTTGTAAATCATTTGAAGGCAGAATATTATTTTTGAATGTTTTTTGTAATATATGAAAAGTATCATTTTGAAAAGTGTATTTTATGATGCTTTTGTAAGCATATTTTTGTAAATCATTTATTGTTTTTAATTTACTTCATACTTGTATTACTATTATTTTAATAGTATTAATATTTTAACTTATTGTAATAAGTGAAGATACAGAAAGACAGTATTTGGATTTTGATAATCATTTGATTGCTGGAAAAAGTGTAAAACTGTAAAAATGCTATTGAATAAACTCAATGAAACGGAAACAGTTTTTTTATTTGGTTAAACATAAGAATATCAATTTTAGAATAATTGAACTTAAATAACTACATTGATTAAAGCTAAACTATAAATGTTACTTTGATTGAATTAAACAACATTACATTACCTTTATGTAACTAACTTAAGTTCACTAAAATTAATATTCTTTCTTAAAGATAACTTAACTCGGTTACGTGGAACCAGTGGACAAAAAAAAGTTAATTAACGCCAACATATAATTTTTTTGAGTGTTGGAAATAGCTGGTTTCGGCAGAGCTCCCAGTCTGTCCAGCTAAAACCAGGCTGGAAAGGGCTGGAAACCAGCCTGGAATTGGCCAGAACTTCTCTAAAACCAGCCTGGTCGACCAGCGTAAACCAGCCTAGGATTTTTCAGCAGGGACATGGGTCCTTATGGGTTATTATGGGTCCTTATGGGTTATTATGAATCGAACGACCCCTCATAAAGCCTGACTGTGTATTGCTAATAATCTGTGATAAACCATCCTTCAAACAATTAGAAAAATCCTGTGCCGACAGTTTATAATCATTTAAAATGTAATGGGTCGCAGATTATCTACATTTTTAGGATCTTTGCCGGGTGGAGGCTGGAAACTGATTACCCACTGAAGAGACCGGATCCGCGTGACTGCAGCGCCACCTGCCGGAGGAGAGCGGAACTACACCAATAGAGTCACAGCTCAGATTAAATATGAATTTATTGACAAGTGATTTTCGATACTTGAGTTATATTTTACATTTAGGCCTATTATGAATATTTTTGTGGACAACTAAACTAGTAATAGCAGATAAAATAGCATAAGAGTGAAAAATATGAAACCAAATCAAGCAATATTCTGATAAAGAGTATTAGCTAGAGCAGTTTTATATCGGTGGTCAGGGTGATGCTGCTGCTGTATAACCTATGATCAATGGGCAGAATGAACGCGATACTAACTTGATTATAAAGTTCACCGTGATCAGTCTGTACGGGTTTGCTTTATTGTAAATAAATGTTTATTATTTTAATCATATATTTTTTGAGTTTTGTTCATAAATACAGAAGCTTGCTCTTGAAGAGACAAAAAGCGCGCGGTGGGCGTGCAGCGCATGAATGCTGCGCGTGCGCGAGGGTAGCGGAAGTGACGGGCGTATGCGTTTCCGTCGGCTGTTTTGCTGGAGCGTCAGAAACGGAGCGTTTCCACTCGATTAATCAAGAGCAGAAGATTAAACTGAAGACATCAGATGTCATTCGGTGTTCCGCACAGCGGCGGGTGAGTGACTGAGAGTGTGTGAGAGTATGAGAGTACGTGTGTGTTTGTGTGTGTGTGTGTGTGTGTGTGTGTGTGTGTGTGTGTGAGTTAATGGCGGCTGTTGCATAACAACACACAGAACAGAAGCAGAAGCTCGTGAAGCATTTATAAACCTGATCAGAGGTCAGTCCTGCAGCTCAGAGAATACAGCGGGAACAGAGAGATGAGCACGCGCACGCACGCAC